TTGCATCAACAATCAAAAAGATTCTATTATTGTATTTAATGTTCAAATTTAATCCTGCAGAATATAAAAAATTAGACTCTAAATCCGATCAATTTAATTCCATTTCTAAAGGAATAATAGACTATGCCGCATTATACCGTATTATCAATATGAAATTTCAGAATCATATTCCCATTTCTAGAAGAACAATGAACAATATTTCTTTCAATTCTAAATTTAATCAATCATATAAAATAATAAATTATAGAAAAACATTATTCTATTTTCAATCAAATAACGATAATTTATTTCAATGTGAAGTTTATAAAATAATAGAAAGAGTTTCGCTTTCTATTCATCACTATTATCAATTTTACAAACATTCTTTGCCAATTCCAAATGAGAAACATATAGGTTTGCATTACGGTGATTACACTTCTATGGATATCGAAAGTTTATATTCCCAAGTTAAATTACGATATTGTTCAAAACAAGCCCTAATGATCAATTATAATGATCCTGCTTCTGAAGCTATTAACGAATCAGAATCAGTTGCCAAGTTGATAAATAATTGTGTCGAAATAACAGTTTCTGAAACTATTATAAAGGTACGTGATAACGATAAGAAGTAGGTATCATTTAAAATAATCAAATTTCATCAAGTTTACATGACCTATAGGCGCAACCCGGAAACTTAGATGATGCGGATGAACAAATAATCGAAATCGAGCAAGGAATAAATATTGCGAAAGATATAATAAAAGTAGATTGTTATAATTTTGGAATTAGAATTGAAAATATGCACAATGAAATCAACAAATTATTGGAAAAAATCAATACTGAAATTAAAATATTAAATATTAATTTATGGGGACCGACGGCCTATGAAGATGGCATAAAGCAAGTTAATTACTCTCGCAAAAATAAAATAAAACCTCCAGGGCACCTTCGATCATTTCTTACAACTCCGATCCCTATTCAAAAAATACTTTGAAGAACAATTTCGGGTTATTTCTCATAGAGAGAATTATGATAAAAAATACTTTGAATCTATGTTAGCTCACCCAAATTTAAATACAAAATACTTATGTATTTATTTTTATTTTTATAAATGAAATGTTTAAATAATCGGTTTAAAAACTAGTGCTTCAAATTGAATAACCTGGGAGAGAGAATTCTATAGAAATTTTCATCAGCAATTCAAACTACCGAAAAATCTCATGAACTTATCACATACCGTCAATTCCTGCCATCTCGAATCAAAGAATTCCCGATCCAATGGAAAGACAATCGAGCTATTGTTTATTCAAGTATAGAGGACTATGGCTAAAAATATAATCGATAAGTGATTTTTTAAGTCTTTAAAAATGTTATTATATATGTAGTAACATCTTTTTTTTTTTTTAGGAATGTTGTTATGAGATATTGCCGTTAATGACTTGCGAAGTAGGGCAAAAGACTGGCTTAGATAACAAAACTTCAATCGATTTTCCATTTTATCATGGGAATTCTTTGGATCGAGATGACAGGAGCTAATGGCATTTGATAAGTTTATTAGATTTTTCGTTAGTCAGAATTACTGGTGAAATTTTCAATAGCAATTCTCTCTTAAGTTATTCACATTGAGCACTAGTTTAAAGCCATTATTTAGTCAATTTTTTATTTATTTATTTATTTATTACTCGAATTATTTTGTCATAATTTATATTTGAAAGAAATTTATTTCATTATTATCACAACAACTCATTCCAAAATTTTTAATTAAAAGAACAATTTTGAATTAATAAAAATGA